CATCCAAAAGCAACAGGATACACATTCTTCTCAAGTGCACATGGAACATTTTCAAGAATAGATCATATACTAGGCCATAAAAAGAGCCTCAGTAAATTGCAAAAATTTGAAATTGTACCAACCAGCTTCTCAGATTACAAAGGTATGAAACTAGAAATAAATTACACAAAGAAAATGAAAAAGCCCACAAACACATGGAGTCTTATAACATGCTCCTAAATAATCAATGGATCAATAACCAACTAAAAACAGAGATCAAGTAATATATGGAGACAAATGATAACAATAATTCAGCACCACAAAAAATCTGTGGGATGCAGCAAAGGCTGTGTTAAGAGGAAAATATATTGCAATACAGGCCAGGCCTACCTCAGGAAAGAACAATCCCATATAAACAGTCTAAACTCACAAATAACGAAACTAGAAAAGAAAGAACAAATGAGGCCCAAAGTCAGTAGAAGGAGGGACATAATAAAGATTAGAGTAGAAATAAATAAAATCGTGAAGAATAAAACAATAGAAAGAATCAATGAAAGCAGGAGCTGGTTCTTTGAGAAAATAAACAAAATAGATAAACCTCTAGCCAGACTTATCAAGTAAAAAAGAGAGTCTACACACACAAACAGAATCAGAAATGAGAAAGGAAAAATCACTATGGACACCATGGAAATATAAAGAATTATCAGAGAATACTATGAAAAATTATATGGTAACAAACTGGATAACCTAGAAGAAATGGACAACTTTCTAGAAAAATACAACCTTCCAGGGCTGACCTAGGAAGAAACAGAAAATCTCAATAGACCGACTACAAGCAAAGAAATTGAATTGGTAATCAAACAAATACCTAAGAACAAAACTCCTGGACCAGATGGTTTTGTTTCACTGCTGAATTTTATCAAACATTTAGCAAAGACCTAATACCCATCCTCCTGACAGTTTTCCAAAAAGTAGAAGAGAAGGGAATACTCCCAAACTCATTCTACGAGGCCACCATCACTCTAATACCAAAACCAGGCAAAGACACCATAAAAAAAGAAAATTATAGACCAATATCCCTGAGGAACAGAGATGCAAAAATACTCAATAAAATATTAGCAAACCGAATTCAAAAATACATCAAAAAGATCATCCATAATGATCAAGTGGTATTCATCCCAGGGAAGCAAGGATGGTAAAACATTGGAAAATCCATCAACATCACACAGGACATCAACAAAAAGAAAGACAAAAACCACATGATCTTCTCCACAGATGCTGAAAAAACATTCGACAAAATTCAACATCCATTCATGATAAAAACTCTCAACAAAATGGGTATAGAGGGCAAGTACCTCAACATAATAAAGTCCATATATGACAAACCCACAGCCAACATTATACTTCACAGCAGGCAAGACAGGGATGCCCACTCTCCTCACTTTTATTCAACATAGTACTGGAGGTCCTAGCCACGGCAATCAGAAAACACAAAGAAATAAAAGGCATCAAGATTGGTAAGGAAGAAGTCAAACTGTCCCTGTTTGCAGATGACATGATATTGTATATAAAAAACCCTAAAGAATCCACCCCAAACCTAAACTACTAGATCTAATATCTGAATTCAGCAAAGTTGTGGGATACAAAATTAATACACAGAAATCTGTTGCATCCCTATACACTAATGATGAACTGGCAGAAAGAGAAATCAGGAAAACAATTCCATTCAAATAGTTCTAAAATTAATATGGAACCACAAAAGACCCCAAAAAGCCAAAGCAATTCTGAGAAGAAAGAATAAAGTGGGGGAAATTATGCTCCCTGACTTCAAGTTCTACTACAAAGCCACAGTAATCAAGACAATTTGGTACTGGCACAAGAACAGACCCACAGACCAATGGAACAGGCTGGATAGCCCAGATATAAACCCAAGCATATACAGTCAATTAATGTATGATGGAGGAGCCATGGATATACAATGGGGAATGACAGCCTCTTCAACAGCTGGTGTTGGCAAAACTGGACAGCTACATGTAAGAGAATGAAACTAGATTATTGTCTAACCCCATACACAAAAGTAAACTCAAAATGGATCAAAGACCTGAATGTAAGTCATGAAACCATAAAACTTAGAAAAAAACATAGGCAAAAATCTCTTGGACATAAAACATGAGCAACTTCTTCATGAACATATTTCCCCAGGCAAGGGAAACAAAAGCAAAAATGAACAAGTGGGACTATATCAAACTAAAAAGCTTCTGTACAGCAAATGACACTGTCAGTAGAACAAAAAGACATCCTACGGTATGGGAGAATATATTCATAAATGATATATCCGATAAGGGGTTGATATCCAAATTATATAAAGAGCTCATGCACCTCAACAAACAAAAAGCAAATAATCCAATTTAAAAAATGGGCAGAGGAGCTGAACAGACACTTCTTCAGAGAAGAAATTCAGATGGCCAATAGGCACATGAAAAGATGCTCCACATCGCTAATCATCAGATAAATGCAAATTAAAAACCACAATGAGATATTACCTCACACCAGTAAGGATCGCCACAATCCAAAAGACAAACAACAACAAATGCTGGCAAGGATGTGGAGAAAGTGGAACCCTCCTACAGTGCTGGTGGGAATGTGAACTAGTTTACCCATTGTGGAAAGCAGTATGGAGGTTCCTCAAAAAATGAAAAATAGAAATACCATTTGACCCAGGAATTCCAGTTCTAGGAATTTACCCTAAGAATGCAGCAGCCCAGTTTGAAAAAGAAATATGCACCCCTATGTTTATCGCACCACTGTTTAATAGCCAGGGAAGCAACCTACGTGTCCATCAGTAGATGAATAAAGAAGACGTGGTACATATAAACAATGGAATATTATTCAGCTATAAGAAGAAAACAAATCCTACCATTTGCAACAACACAGATGGAGCTAGAGGGTATTATGCTTAGTGAAATAAGCCCGGAGGAGAAAGACAAGTACCAAATGATTTCCCTTATTTGTGGAGTATTAACAACAAAGCAAAACTGAAGAAACAAAACAGCAGCAGACTCACAGAGTCCAAGAAGGGACTAGCGGTTATTGAAGGTGAGGGGTGGGGGAAGGTGGGTGGGACGAGAGGGAGAAGGGGATTGAGGGTATGATGATTGGCACACATGGTGTGTGGGTCACGGGGAAGACAGTGTAGCACAGAGAAGACAAGTAGTGACTATGTGGCATATTACTACACTGGTGGACAGTGACTGCAACAGGGTGTGTGTGGGGGACTTGACAATATGGGTGAATGTATTAACCACAATGTTGCTCATGTGAAACCTTCATAAGATTGTATAACAATGATACCTTAGTAAAAAAAGAGAATGCAAATTGGCAAATTAGGCTTAGAAGTTACAAGGCATAAATCCACTTAAATCAATACCACTAAAATATATCACTGTTATTTACATATCCCATCTGACAGTTCATAATAGCATTTTTTGCTGATGCGAAGCAATGAAAACAAAATTAACACTACCTTTATAGAAGCCAACATCTGGTTAGAAGCAATAATGCATGAGTCCATTTATAAAAGCAACACAGAAAATGTTACCAAGGGGCACCAACGTTGAAGAAATGAAATGAAATAGTATGCTTAACATCACAAAGATGTCTGGGTTAACTCATAAAAATTAATATGATACTACTACAAAAGTCAGGTTTTCGGGAGTACCCAAAAGGATTCTAAGGAGAACATGCAGCATGTACTATGGATTTATGTGCATATATCCTACTATTTAGCAATTCTACTTCTTCAGCATGTATCTTTAAACACCATAACATTACTGTTTTCTGTGGGCATATATGCAAGTAAGAAATGCATTATAAAAAAAAAGGCTGGAAGGATGGACACACAGTAACTAGCCAGCTCTGGTGAACTGCTGTGACAGAATGTTTGCAGTCAGACAGGCCTGGCTCTGCCATGTATAGGATGGAAAGACCACTTGACTTCTCTGGATTTCTGTATTCTCATCTCATCTCTATAAAATCAGAATGATGCCTAATCCCAAGGTTGCTTAAATTAAATGAGATGTGTGAAATTTCCTGGTACACAGTTGACTTAGAGTTAACTGTTAACTCCCTCTTCCTCATTTAGTTTCAACTCACTTTTTATAGTTGAAAATAACCGTGAGCTCCTACAGTAATTATATATCTGTAATCATTTTAAAACGGAAAATAATTTCCACTAATTCTCAACTCCTAGAACACAGTCCAAAACTAAAAACACTTTGAGCTCCTAAAATAGTCGTTAGTCTCAGCAAGCTTACAGGTGCATACTCAGCACCCAACTAACTCTTAAACATATTTAAAAAGTTTGGTGCTATTCTTTTTCTGGGCACAGACTGGCAGATAACTAGGAGGAAGAGGGGACTACCAGATACCCCAGGCAGCATTCTTAAGTGACATCAAGGGAGACAGAATATGACCCAGGAATGATCAGGTTTGGCGACATCCCCTCTCTTACATTCTGAAAATCAGAGAAGCAACAGGCTTTAGAAATACTGGTTATCCTGTTTAAATTACTCCAGGTGCCGGCTGTTTACGCTTTGGGGGAACAGGCGTGGAATTCATCACTTTTAAAAACTGTCATCCCCCTTGTGTTTAAATTAAGAAAGGGCCACTTTGGGGGCGAGGCCCTGCACAAAGCAGGCTCTCCTCCAGTTTCTAAACTACCCGCTGAACTTCGCAGAAGTTCGGCTGTCTCCGCAGAAACCATTCCCTTTGGTTTCTACGTATCTTACACCAAGCAAAAACCGATAAAATGCCCAGAACGACGTTACGGAGAGGCGACATCAGTGAACTACAGTCCCTAAGGAGAGTCACTGTCAGTCGGCCGGGCCCAGGTACACCCGCAATCAAGCGACAGCGCCCACGCCTCGCGGCAGGCCACGGGGAGGAGGCCCGGCACCCCGGCACCGCCACATCCTGCCCTCAGTCCCCGCGTCCAGAGGAGGCGGAGGCCGGTGCCGCCCCACCTGGTGCGCCTGAAAGAGGCCGCAGCTACAGCACCGCAAGACCCGACACTGCCGAGGCGGCGCCATGCCGGTCTTCGTCACCGCTGAGCGCTTGCGCGATGCGCGCCTGCCTGCCCGCCCGGCTCCGCCCCCCGTCCCCCGTCCTCGTTCAGGCTCCTCTAAGCCGCAGCACCGCCTTGCGTGCGCGTGCGCACTGGCCTGTTCGACCCCGCCCCCTGCAGGCGCTCGGGCCCCTCTAGCCCGCCACACTTCCGGGCGGTTGGCAGGCGTCCCTCGGGAGCGCTGGGCTCAGGCCTTCCGCCGCCGGGTCGGGTGTTCTTGGGGTTTTCGCCAGCTAGGTCGCCGACTCGCTGTCTGAGCCCGGTCCGGTACCGCTCTCTTTTTAAGTCCCAGTTTCCGCTTGGTCTCTCTGGGAAGATGGAAGTTGCAAGGGCAGGGCCTCCATCCGCCGCTCCGGGCCGGCCTTTGCGCACACTGTTCTGCTTCTTAAGGCCCCAGAGAGGGAGCTGGAGGTCGCTTCCCTGCTCCGATCCACGCTGGGGCCCGTGATTGGAACCTGCAGGGCCAAGGGGCAGAGGCGGTCAGTTAACCTTTGAACCAGAGCACCTATGGGCAAGGAACTGAGAAGACAGGAAAACAGTTCATCAGCCCCAGGCTTCCTGGAGATGACGATGGGAGGCGGCCTAAAAGGAAATGAATCCCTCCTGGAGCTTACAGGGCCACACTGCAACCCACTGTGGAAGGTGGAGAGGCAGGTCCCACTCTGGGTAAGGCAGAGTATTGCACGCCTGCTGTCCCCACTGCACCGGGACCCTAATGCCAGCTCACCAAAACATTCACAGCACCTGACAACATAGACCATCTTGTTAAAATTACAACACCCAATCCTGCCAAGGATTGTAATAGGATGCTGGTAGGAAAATGGAAGCACCATTTTGGAACACAATATGGCAATCACCTCTATGCTAAGAAAATAACCTGAATCACATGGATGTTTTATTCATGCAGTATTTAGTATTCACTGAGATATAACGGAAAAAAATGGAGATAAATGTTCTGAAAAATGGTTATGATAACTGCATGGATTGTGTGGATAAAATGAAAGTCCCTGTGGCCAGGATTCTCACCTGGCACTGGTTGGTTAGCTCACTATACGTGTGGGCAATATGTTGCTATTCACTCTGTTATATAAAGAGCTCTGCCCAATGGTCTGGGCAACATGGTGGCACGGCTGCAGGAGTGCAGAGCAGAGGCTGGAGTGGTGGCAGCGCTGAGGACAGAGGCCCAGAGGATGGCTGTGCGGGACAACTGTGCAGGCAGAGAGGCCCAGAGAACGGCTTGCTGCATGCAGACTTGCTCTGAGTGAATGGGATTTTAGTGATTGACCTGCCAACCGTGGAAATAAAGTTGGGTATAACCCTTTCACCCCAAGAATGTTTTACTGTCATTTCTTTGGTCACACTGAATCCACAGTGAACTTGCCCAGGACTGAAACCCATTGGCAAGACAACTGTTACACAAGTCCATTAGAAAGAGTCTGTGTGAAGTGAAAATGCAGGCATATACACAGTTTCAAAGCAAGGCGGTGTCAAAGGTTGCATTATTTCAATTACAGAAAACCAGGCATTATTTCCAGGTGTGTGGAGTTAGGGTTATAGATGATTTTTAATTTCTTATAGTTTCCAAATTATGCACAATATCATATATTAGAAAAAGCAAAATTAGTTTAAAAATTATATTTGAGAGACTGAATATACAAATGGACAGTGACCAGACTATATATGACCACCTGTGCAGCAACCAGCTCTGGAAGCCAAACCACCACTGGGGGCAGCAGTCGGGACTTGATCATTGATGGCCAGTTTCCCTATTGCTTGCACCTCCCCCTTCATCTCAGGACCAACTGAAGAAAGCCAGTTATGCTCCCCAAAACAATCACACAGACATCCTGCTTCTAGTCAGCCCGACTTAGCTTCCCTGCCAACAGTCTGTAATTACAGCACACCTGAAGACTGACTTTTTCACTATGAAGCTTTCCCGCTGCTCTGCCTGCTTCCGAGTCCTTGTCATGAACACACCTCCTGATGCGGCCCCAGGTTGTTTGTACCCTGGTGGCACAGGTGAACTCAGGCCTTGCTTGGCCTGTAACAGCATGTTCCCGTCCCCATTCTTCCCCAGGACTGTGAACAGCCACCCCTGTGCAGGTGTCAGTACCTGGAGCCTTTGGAGCATGGCCTGGGCCCACGCCTGCCAGTGAAGAAGCCAAGAGCCCTGAGCAGTGGCCCAGGGCCACAGGAAGGCTCTGTACACAGTGTGGATTTAATTATTTCAGGGATTTATTAAGGCATCGAGCACAGTGTGATTTTCTAGCCAACTGAAATGAATACAGGGATGGATCAGGACCTGAGGGATGGCCTTTAAGGTTAATGGTGAGGATGACACACTGAATGAGCATTTAGAGTAATGCTGTACGGCACCCACTCTAGTGCCACAAGACGCTTTCTGCCTCTGTCCCAGGAGCTCACTCTTAGTGAGCACTCAAAGGGCCCACCACTTTGATGCCCAACAGGCATGTGACCCCCTGCCTGGTGCCAAGTGACAGGAAAGCCCCAGAACCCACGGCTATAGAAGTGCACCCACGGTGGAGGATGAGGTGTGGCCTGGCCACAGCATGGGGAACACAGGCACTGGGCAAGCAGGGCAGGTGGGACAGCCTGACACTATAGGGCCCAAGGCAGTCCCACCAGGCAGGCAGGAACAGGGATCGGGAGCCTCTGCCTGGGCCCAAATGTGGCTGTTCAGGCTTCTTTCCATGTATAAGCCACTGCATCTGGGAAGACTGACTGGAGGGGGTGTCCTTAAAGAGAAACAGAATGGGAGGGAGAAGGGAGGACAACTCTCACTTGGCAGAGCCCTCAGCCCCAGCCCCAGCCTGCTCATGGTCACTGGAGGTGCTGAATTGTCTCTCCATCTTCTTTAGGTCCTTGATCTTGAGTCCAATGTCCACCTTCTTCTCAAAGAAGTTTACCAGAACAGACTCTGTCAGGATGGAGGCCAGGATCTGCTCAAAGGAGATGGCCCAGTCAGTGTCGACAGTGCCCCCATAGTGGTTGGTGGCTGTGGGGCTGGGGGCAGCACCACCACCCACCAGCACTGTGTCGTCAGCCAGATCCTCACACTGCAGGGAGCCCGTGCTGACCACCGAGTAGGAGGACATGGACATGTCATCCTTGGTTTCGTCGTCAGACAGCAGCTGGGATGGGGAGACCCGGCCCTCGCCGCTGCCCCCTTCACCCACCATCTGGCTCTCCTGCAGCACTTTCCCAAGGTGGGTGTCTCTGTCCGCTCTGGCCTGGGGGTCGCCCAGAGCTGGTGGCTGAAGCTCTGGGGCTGGGTCCTGAGGGGGGCCGGAGGCTGGAGGCTCGTCCTCCTCAGGGGCACTGTCCTGGGGCTTCCTGCCAGGCTGGGTGGAAAACCTCTTCCCCACCTCGCCGATGTGGAGCAGCAGGCTGGCCACTGTGGCGATGGCATGGTACAAGTCCTGCTCCATGGGGTCTTCACTGAACATGTTGTAAAACGTCTTGCACAGCTCAATGAACTGTTCCTTTGAGAGGAAAAACAAACAGGGCAGGGGAATGATGAGAGATGGGCCAGACAGGCAATGCTGGTCATTCTAACCAGGGTGGGGGAGGTCTTAGTGTCTGCACACCCCTGTGCCTGGTCATGGCTGTTTCAGAGACCAGTACACTGAGGCTCGGAGGGAAAGTGACCTGACCAGTGTCACACAGCCTTCCAAGGGCTTTCTTTTCCAGCTGCCTTTGGATCAGCACAGAGTGATCTGTCTTCCTGTCAGTCCCCATTTCTACATACATTCTCTTAGCAGAGACGGACCTGTTTTTATCAAGACTTTCCAAACCCAGGAACCAAAGGGACTTCATGGTGTCTTGGAACCACTTTGAGCTTTTTACATTGTTAATATGAATGACTTCAGTTCTGCCCTCTGTGAGGCTGTATAGAGGGTGGTGACCAGGCCAGGGCAGCCCAGGTCAGTCAAGGGGAGGAGGTCTGATTCTGGTTCCTGAAACCACACATTCAGGACTCCTGTCTGAGAATGGGCCGACGCCTCACTCCACAAGGCACCCCATTCTTCATGCCTGGGGGTGAGGGCACGCCCAGACTGTAGGGAGCCCCTTTGGGTGGGGCAGGGCATGGTTGGACCACAGCTCAACAGCTGCCTTTGGTTAACTGTCTGTGGTCCTGGCTGTGTGCCCCTCAGCAAGACACCAGGCACTGCACCTAGAGACCAGCAATGAAAGGCAGGCTGTGGGCCAGGCATGCCTCTGTGTGCACAGTGCCTGTGCGGGTCTGGGAGGGGGCAGGAGCCCCCTGGGGCTGTCTGTAAAAGGTGGTGTGTGGGTTTCCCCGTTGAAGCTAACCTTCCCCAGTGCCTCTCTGGTTCATGGATACTGATTAAATGTGAGCAAGTCTCACCATGAAATACCACCCAGGACAAGGCTCTGAAGCAGTTGGCCTCCTGTCTTGCTGGAATCATCTCTGATTGCTGTCTGATTAGCACACTCTATAGAGGTAGGCAGGATTCCCATCATACAGGGGCGCTGGGTGGAAAGATGGTGGGGTGCCAGGTGGGAGGACTCAGCCTTGATCAGAAATACCCACAAACATCATTTGTGGGCTCTGATTGGGCCTACCTGGTTCATCTTGGGAAGATCCTTAATCGTCTCCTTCTGAACCTCTTTCTCCTTGGCCCACATTTGAATGTAGTGCCGATAGTCAGGAGGGCTGGTTCCCTTCTCCTCTGTGAGTTGGGAGAAAAAGTTAATCTCCATGTGTCAACCAGGAGAAAGGGCGGGGCTGGCAGCAGAGAGTGAGCGGGCTTGGGTGTGGTGTGGCATGGAGTTACCTGGGCCCTTCTATAAAACACTCCAGCATTTGGCTAGGCGGTAATGGAAAGAACGCTCCAGAACACCCCCACCCCCACCATCTCCCAGGTCATGCTGAAGCAGGTATGACCTGTGCTGATGAAGATGTCCCAACCTGTCTTCCCCAAGACGGTGAT